TTTTTCTGAGTACAGGACGGTTTCTGCTCCTTGTTAATTTAGCTATTTTCATCGACACAGGTTGCGCTTTTGACTATATTGAAGTTTATGACGGTCCAGGGACGTACTCTCCGAAGCATGGAAAGTGTTGTGGTTAGGATATACCAGACCAAATCCGCTCTTCTTCCAATGAACTCCTCGTGATATTTGTCACGAATAACTGCCTTCAGTATTCCGGCTTTGCTGCTGCATATACTGCCGAATCTAGAGGTAAATGTATTCTTGCGAAAAGAACATACAATTCATTAATAGACGATTTACAGTCGATTAAAAACTTTTTCAGCCTGCAGAAAGATAGCTATGCTTTAGAATACCCTGTCACGATTCAACCAGTTTTAGACCCCTCTCCTACTAAAAATTCATGAGAAACAAGCAAGTGAGAACACAAACTATTCAATCGACACCGATAGATCCTTTTTTTTCTGTTCAATCGATTTCTCTCTGCTGTGGGAATCAGCTGTGTTTTAGGAAGACGAGAAATGTAAAGCTGAAACTTTGCAGACACTCTATGGGTTTCAAACCACTCCAGGTTTAACATACTCCAGGAAAATTAATGAGAAAGTCTCAGGTCCATGTACAAAGCCAAGGAGCAGTGTGTACTCTTTAAATTTACAGGCCTTAACATCAGTACGAATATTCTCCATACTGTTCTCTATACATTTTCTAACGTGTTGACAAGGAGAATTTGTTTAACAACTAAGAGCTTCTTTGGTTGTACTTGACAACATTTCTTTTAGTTCTTTATGTGGGATCCGGGGGTGATATCGCGAGGAGAATTAAGATGCCAATCACATTAAGGGGTTGAAAGAGTAAATTTGAAATTTATAAACGAGGGTCTTTTTGATGACCTGTGTCCTTTTTTTTATTGAAAGTTTGACATGTTTCAGCAAAATTTTAAATGCTAAATGTGCATTTTGTATGAATTTTTTCCAAGCAGCTGTCGCTAATCCTTGTCTTGTAAACAATGGAGGGTGCTCTGATGAATGTTCTCAGACGTCCGATGGACGGGTTTGCTCATGTAAACCAGGTTTCACACTGGATAGGGACGGGGTCACGTGCAGAGGTACAGATGTATAAGACTTAAGCAACGTATACTCCTTTACAATATACTTTCTTGACCTTTTACACCAGATCAGACTCTATTGTAGTAGATGTAAGACTCTATCTGCATATGTCTTCTTGCTAGGCAAGGTACTGCTTGACGGTTCAAAGAAGTGAATTACAACAGAAAGATTAAAAAATTGAAAGGAGAGTGTAGTAAAAAAGTAGAGCATGGCACAGAAAGTTTGTAAATACAATCATTTCTGTTTTATGGTCTCATGTAATGAAAGACAGACTGTAATCATGCCATTTTGGCTGAATATTTTGAGAGCCGCAAAGGAAAAGGGATCCTAATGAATCATCTTAGACTTTTGGGTGACAAAGTTCTTTCTTTGAAGAAGAAACTTTTAAGAAGAAACTTTATTTAAAGAAACTAGACTGTCCAGTCAACAATGAAATCGTACTTAACTTGTTTCCATCAGTTTATTTCATTTTTGTTTGGTTGTATGACTAGGCTTCGGGTATTTATTCGTATTGAACATTTTTTCCCGCTGCTCAACAGACTATGATGATTGCATAATCAACAACGGTGGCTGCGACCATCTTTGCCTAAATACTCCTGGTAGCTTTCACTGCAAATGTAATGATGGTTACTTAATCGATTCAGACAACAAGACTTGTATAAGTAAGTGTGATATATTTCAGTTAAGAACCAGTTACCATTAATCGCGCCGGGGGGAAGGGGGTGAAGGTAGTGAAAAATTTGGAAGGAGGGGATCACGTGGTCATAAGGGAGAACCTGGGGGGGTGTCAGTCGTCGCACACAGAGTAGAAAGGGTAGTAAATAGAAAATGGATTGCCAATTAACCATTAATGAGGGATGGGGGTCATAATAAAAGGTCCTCAATGTGAAGTTAACTCCATTCCTGTGTTCACAAAAGACCAACCTATTATTCCGAACTTCAAAACACGTGTTGTTCCCACGAGCAGGACACATGAACCCCACTACACAAATTATCGCCCTAACACGTAGCTTATGTAAACAGTACAACTGTAAAATAACATAACGAAAACACACCTACGTCACTACGAGGAGCTATAAACATTTTACGCTCTATGCTGTGGCACAAAAATATCCTGTTGTTTAGATAATTTTTCGAATAACAAGTACATTTTTCGCAAAATTTAAAGTGACGAAAAATACTCAGACAAAAATGGTTGAATGACTCAATCATCTGCAAACCTTGAGGACTGTTTTGGCAGCAGTGATATGTAGAGAGGATCAATGTATCTGGTATAAAACATATTAAAGTGATTTCCTTATTTGACCAAATATCTGTGGTGAGATGGCAAAACTATCGATGGGTTTATTTTCTGTGAAGTGTGAAATAAATTCTATTTTGTCCCTTTAGATGAGAACGAATGCGCCACAGGAAATAACAACTGCGAACAATTGTGCCGCGACACTGAACAGGGTTATTATTGCGAATGTCACAAGGGCTACAAAGTAGGACTCGACGGATTCACATGTCAAGGTAAAACATTTAGAAGCAGCTCTAAATCCAGCCTTGCGGTGCCAGGTTGCCGAGTGTTTGAGGGAAATCTCGGGATGAAAAGTTAGCGGCCACTAAATCCTCAGTGGCCCCACTTTCCCCTTTCCTTTTCAACTTTTCACTCCGACAAAATATGTCCATTTCCTAAACTGGGGTAATTCTCTTCACAATTATAAAAACTTTAAGACTATGTGCGTTTGACGTTTAATTAAAGTAACATTTTTATCAACATAATGATTCATTGAAAATGTTATTAGAATATTTTGTTGCCATACATCTTACATTTAAACTTCTTGTCGTTCTTTTTGTTTCTCAACAATTCATATTTTGCTTCTTTGTCAAACCTTTGTGTTTTCTGTTCAGATTTAGCCTTTTTTAATGGTTCTGTTGTCTTTCAGATTTGGACGAGTGCAAGTTACCAAAGAGTTTTCATCACTGCCAACACACGTGCGTAAATACACCAGGAAGCTACTACTGCAAGTGTAACAAAGGATTCATACTCAGTGCTAATGGAAGAATTTGTAGGGGTAAGGGAACATTGCTTATTTATCTCCTGGGGTAGGGTGGGAAAAGATTTTGGGGTATAAAAGATTATAAGGTGCAAAAGATTTTAGGGGAGATCTCATGGGGGTTTACTGGGGAAATGGAGGGGAATCAGTCGTCGCCGAAAGAATGTCAAGAACTATAGAAAATTGACCGCCAATTAACTGCCAGCGAGGGAAGGGTCAGAAGAGTGTTACAGAGCACTGAGGGTGGGGAGATCAGTAAATTTCATGGTGAGACAACTGCAAGCCCCCTCCCCTCCCCGCCCCGGCGATAATTAAAGACCGGCCCGAAAGGGTCAACAGATTACGGACGTTAACGTATTAACAAGATTACCTTCGGATTTCAAATCGCTCAAAGTACGACTCGAAGTTGGAAATTCTGAGGCTAAATTCGTCCCTGGGAACTTATTTCAATTTCTATGAATATCCAGCTTTTTCTTCTGTGTGGAGGGTCATCGAATGAATGAATTTCGTTTTCAGATGAAGACGAATGCTTGATGGGAGGAACAAAGTGTGAGCAACAGTGTGTTAATACCCCGGGTAGTTTCCATTGTGATTGTTACACTGGTTACCATCGTGACCACCGACTTCCTCACAAGTGCGTGGACACTGATGAGTGTTCAGAGGGCCGGCCAGACTGTCACAAGTGCATGAATTCTGAAGGAAGGTAACGAGCCGAAGAATTGTAAGATATTGTTATCGTTCCTCCAGACCTCTGCAGGTCCTCATACTTCATTCAAAGAAGGCTTAAACCAAGACAAAACGGAAGAGCTCATTGAAATGTACAGTGGCAATTTTTACCGTCCGTCCTTAGACTGGTTGCAACATTTGTTGTGAAAGCTGGCCTTAGTTTAATCGAAGTCGTCATTTATATATTTCTGGATGTAATTCACTACTAGATTTATTGACCTGTTGTTGGTAGAGTGGTGAGAGCACTCGCCTTCCATTGCTTTTGCTGGAGCTTAATATACACTCCCAGACCTTGTATCACATGTTGCTGAGTTTTGTGAACGGCTCTCGCCCTCGTTGGCCTTTGCTAGTTAAGGGAGAGGGTGGGGTGGGTGGAGGGTGGGTGGTTTTGAATCGACGAATCTTTGCTTATTTGCTAGTTTAAAACTAGCATTCAGCTCTGTGATATGCCTCAAGCATACTTTTATTCAGTTTTCAATAAACGCCTTTTTCAATCTTTTAAAGTAATTGTGCCATTTATTTATTTATTTTTTTATTCGATCATTACTAGTTTCCGTTGCGAGTGTGATGAAGGTTACATTACCGCTGACAATGAAACTCGTTGCGCGGATATCGATGAATGTGCGGTGAACAATGGCGGCTGCTCTCAGAACTGCGTCAACATGGATGGATCTTACATGTGTGAATGCAGCGAAGGATATAATGCCACTGACCCCGAGTAAGTATATGAACTTTATTTTCCTTTTGCACCTCATTGGGCATTGTTTGATCTGCAATAATATGAGGTGCTCGGCTGCTTTTATCATCTCGACTATGAAACACGCAGATATGATAAATCGGTGTAGCAACATGCTGAGTCTAAGACCCCATTCACACTAATGCGTTTTCGTCTGAAAACCGATTCTATTCGATGCGTTTTGGCCTTCCGTCCTCACTAATATTAAATGCTTGGAAACGGATGCGCTTTTAAATGAAAACGAATCGATTCGAAAACACTCTCAAAAGTGGAGAAAGTTGAAAATGCAGGCATAACGGTTTTGTGTGAGCGGTCGAAAACGGAGCCTTTCGAAAACAATGACGCTGGATTACGTCATTGCGTCGTGCAACCTCTTTTCAAGCTTCCCGTCTCAAATTCAAAACAAATATGGCAGACGAGCAAATGGATATGCTTTTGTATGTTGTTGACTTGTTTTATCGCTTATTTGGAGGTTATTATCGCGTTATTTACCCTTTCGTTGATAACCCTTCGAAGAAGAATATCCATTCTGAGAACACTGGTTCTTTCTAATGATCGCCACGCAAGACTCGGACAAGTAGGCCATATCAAAGGCCGAGAATATTTTGACTTCGACCAGGACGAACAAGCGCGTGGTGGGCAAATTTTTTCACAGAGGGCGTGCGCAGTCTGACGAGTAGGTCACAGAAGTGACGTATGCATTTTCGAGTGTTTTAGTGAGTGGACAGTCATAAACGCTATGAAAACTCTAGTAGTCAGCCCCAGGTGAATTAAAAAAATTCAACTGCCGTTTAGGTCACTTAACTGTGAAGACATCGATGAGTGCGCCAGAAACAATGGCAAAGGAGAATGTGACTACGCATGCGCTAATTCTGTGGGATCATTCCGCTGTTCTTGTGCTGCGGGCTTCCACCTAGATGCTGATGGACTGACCTGTCATGATATAAATGAATGTCAAGCTAACAACGGAAACTGCACGCAGAAGTGCATTAATACTCAAGGAGACCACTCATGTTCCTGTTTTGAGGGTTTTATGAACTCAGGTTCAAATGGAACTGATGTTATCTGCATTGACATTGGTGCGTATCTTATTTTTTCCCTTGCTTATTGCTCTTTCTACCGGGTTATTTTATTATTGCACAAAATGCAAACTGTCTCTTTTAGGTGGGGGGCTTTTTTTGTCTCTAACCTTTTTGAGAAAGATGTTTATTCGTCTTGTCACGAGCGTGGGACAAAGAAAAGAGTCCCCAGAGGAATCGAACCTCAGACCTTCGGATTCCGCGCTCTGATGCTCTACCACTGAGCCACTGAGACTTCACGTGAGCGAGGTCTATTACGAAGTTCATATGACACGCGTCCTTGTTGTTGTTCGGCTTGTCTTCTATTTTCCTATATATTTTTTTGTTAGTTTTTATTTTGTTTTGTTTTTTTCGTTGCGAGCGTCGAGGAATTGTATCAAATTTTGACTGCTCAAAGTGAAACATGGTTTCTAACTCTCTCTCTCCTTTTTCTTTGGTCCTTACTTTCTCTCTATGCTTTCCATAGACGAGTGTTTTGATGAGATACACCAGTGTGACAGTCTCGCGAAATGCCACAACACTCCCGGTAACTACTCATGCCAGTGCCCTGACGGTTACTCCTCGCAGTGGAAGGACTGTATCGGTGAGGCCGGTGTTTAGACATAAAGAAATTTATGTCGTCATTGTTTTCATAAATCATTCCCCTTTTCAAAGCGACAGTATAAGATAAAAAAAAGGTAATCAATCAATCCGTTCAGGTTTCAGGTCTCAGCAATTTTCTACTATTAGTTATCGGCGCGATTTTTTTTAGTTTAGAACTGTAACGCTATGATTGTGCCCTTCCGAAGTACGTGATAACTTTACAAGCCGCAATTTTTTCGCCTTTCGTTAATTCGGAAAAAAGGGATTGGTTTATTTTGGAAACTACGCCAAAAACTTTCAAAAAGTTAAATTAAAGAGATCATTTGCCTTTCGGTCTAGAGACAGAATCCTTGTTATTTTGCAGTTCGAATTTTTATGATGTCTCGTAAAAACTTTGATTATTGATGTAAAGTAATTCACGAAATCGGGTATCTATATGAACATCGGTTAGCAATAAAAGGCCATTCTCAAAAAAGCCTATTTAAAGATGACTAAGGTATCCACCATTTTATTATCCTGTTTATGTTTTAGATATTGATGAATGCACTAAGCCCGAGATAAATCAGTGCGAGCAAGTTTGCAACAATACTCCTGGAAGGTTATTATGTTTCTACTACGTTTTTTATTAGCTCTTCACCCCATCTTCCCACTGCCAAAGGAAAATAATTTTATATCAGCAACTCTTGGCCTAGCAAATGATTCTAAATATTGAAGTTGTAATATACATCGCAATCGATACTCTTTGGCAGGCACAGAGTCTTTATGGTTAGCGCAAGAAACTGCGTTAAGATGCGACATCGAGTATCGGCCGGGTCTCTGTATTGTTTTCCTGGGCAAGACACTTTATCATAACCAAGCCCCCATTCAAACAGGAGATGACTAAACTGTTAGGGAACCCCGAAAATATATTTTTGAAGAGGGGGAGGGTGAAGGTTTAGCGGTGATGGGTAAGGATTCTCTCCATGATAAGTAGTAATACCCTACGCCGCAGAAAGCCTGTGTTAGTCATTTGAATTTGAATGAATGATTGATAAGCTAGATTAACATTGGTTTTGTGGTGATTATTATTTATGTTCATTGTTTGTTTGTCTGTTTATTCCTTGTTTTCTTTTTTGTTTTTGTTTTTTATTTTCTAATGATTGTTCAAATGATTTATGCTATTCTAAGGATGTGATATTTATTGCAAATTTCTCTCATATGTAGCTTCCACTGTGAATGTAGACAAGGTTTTGACCTCCAAAACGACAGCAAAACCTGCAGCGGTATGTATTGCTAACAATTGAGGCTTATTTATTGGAAACGAGAAACTGGCAAGGACCCATGGCCACCTGAGGTTTTCAATGATTACAGTGCAGTAAATGTGTGGCATTAACTTAGAGATTCACTGAAAATTAGTAGTATTTAGCTTTCGGTCAGAGAGAGAGGGAACAATAGGTTATTAAAGCCTTTTTACTTTTACTGATCTCAGCATGTTGAATAGATCGGTAGTAATCAGGCCCAAGCAATAGCAGGTGCGGGTTATTTCTTACTCTTTGACTTTCCATATCTTCAGATATTGACGAATGTAAACTGGGCAAATGCGAAAAAGGTTGTCTTAACACCGTTGGAAGTTACCAATGTTTGTGCCCAGCTGGTTATCAGTTAGCAGCAGACGGTCACCATTGTGAAGGTAAAATACTTCAATATCTAGAATTAAGCTATATTAATGAGGATTTAATGAATCAATATTTTTTTTGCAGTTGAAACAAACAATGTGCCCATAGGGGCGTAACTTTGAAAAATAGGATATGGAAATTGTCCTTCTTAATTAAGATTGACAACTGGGCGTGTGTGAATGGGTTCTGATATTTGACTGGCATTTAGCCTTGAAAAGTGAGATATCTCTCTTTATTACAGATATCGACGAGTGTTTGGAAGATAACAGTGGTTGCGATCAGAGATGTGTAAATGAAAATGGAAGGTATTGTTTCTTCAGAAACTCTGGAGTTATTCGTTTGAGTACAGAGGAGCTCTTGCTTGGAACTCGTAGGGAGACATCAGGATGAGACGTTTCGAAAAGTGTTAACATTTCTTTGTTGTTGCGTCAGTTTGTACTTGTTGATGTCCCCCTAGCTTGTATCAGGTTTTTCAGTACCTCTGTCAAGGCTGAGTGAATTTGTGAGTAATATGAACGAGGTCCCTCTAATTACTTGGCTGTTCGATGTCAATGTCTCTGAATGTTAAAAGAATAAGTATTATTGTCATTACAATCAGTGTAATAATCAACATCATCTTCATTATTGTTATTGTTATTTTTCTATTATTGTTATCATCATTATTATTTCATGTTGTCATAGTCACTTTAGACTTCAATCGCTTAAGAGATCTCAATATTTATAACGCCTAATTCTCAGCGTAATATCTCCCAAGTGTAACCTTGCATGTTTCGAGGAAATTTTTTGGTGTCCCTTAAGATTATTGTTGCTAATCATGCAAGATTTAAAGAAAATGACGTTAAAAACTCAAAGGTATCTCTGACCCTCCCAATATATGTTTTGTCTTCTCACAGTTATTCATGTGCTTGCCATCATGGTTTCAAACTTCTGAGAGATGGATCAACATGTAGAGGTACATATCGTTAAAAAGCGGACTTGTGATAAGCAGGTAATTTAGTGTTAACAACTGGGTTGAAAACGTAAATTAGCCACCGTAAACTTGTGACTTGTGATAAGTTTGGCTTTGCCACAGCTGTTGTGATAAGCGAATCATTCGCCCTATTAAGGGTGGCAAATTTATGTTCTCAACTCGTTTGAAAATACTAAATTACCGAATATGAGGCTTGGAACCGAAAACATGCTTACATATATGTTTATTTTCCATCCTAACTGAACTCCCATTAAAACTTCATGTTTACATTACTAAAACCTTAACTTCCCGAATTTTTTAACGTTGATAACAAAGGGGAAAAATCACACTTACACTTGCTATTATTAATTGTTAAGAAAACAACAAAACAGTATAAACAATAGACTGTTCTATTAAATGTATCACACTCACCTTTCGCTAAACAAAAGTTCAGTTGCATACATGTGAGAAGTTTGCTTGTATCTTACTCGAAAATAACGAAAGAATCGGCATCTGTTCGTGGGCAAGCGCGTAAGGTATTTCTTACTTACGTAAGATATTTCGGAGGGGCTGTTTATGTATGTGATTGGAACTAAATTTTAGAAGGAAATAAGCCAATTACTTAACTGGTCTTTTTCTTTTGAATCAGATATCGACGAATGTCTGCTGAACACTGCGTGTTGCAACCAGGGTTGTTTCAACACAGAAGGCAGCTATAACTGCTCTTGTTACCAAGGATACACGTCCAGCAGTAACTGCACCTGTGTAGGTTAGTAAAATGAAAGTGATATGACTCGACCTTAGAATTTTGAGTTGTTTTGGGTTTGTGTGGTCAAAAGTATTTTTGAGCAATGATGAACGTGAAAGCCTCTTACAAAATGTAATTTAAATTTCTCTTAAGTGAGACTCTCTTATTTTTCAGACCTTTTTTCAAATGATACTGCCAATAGTACTGCTTAAGTTTTAGCAGTTGAGCAATGTTAAAAAAAATTGTGGAGGAATGTGTTCGTAACCTTTGAGAAAGTTACTTTTAGAGTTAATGATTGTTTCTCACTGCTTTCTGTGATGTATCCTTCCTCACCTCATTATGTTCGACTAAAAAGTGACTCCGTTCAATATTTTATTTGCTCTCTCTAGATGTAAATGAGTGCCAAACAAATAACGGAGGCTGCGAACAGATTTGTACCAATAACCCGGGAAGCCATAGGTGAGCGAACCATACTAAGAAATATTTACTTGTTCGTGTCAGGCGTTTAAGCTGATATTTGCCAACCAAGGTTGTGTCAGTGCGATTTCTGCAAGAAGATTTGCCTAGCTTAAGTACACTGTTGTGCTCGTCGGAGGGTGATTTCCGGCCCTCGCATATAGAATTAAAATGACAAGATTTATTTGTCCTAAGAAACAATAGGTACGTAAAAAATTAGCCATTTCCTCAGTATGTGCTTTTTTGTTTGTTTGGTTTTTTTTTTGTTTTTGTTTTTTTATTTTCGTTTTTTTGCATGATGAATTGTATTTATCATTTCTGGCTTTTTTTTAAAATTAGATGCTCGTGCAACTCAGGTTTTGTAATCGATAGCAGTGACCCGAAGCGCTGTGTGGACATCAACGAGTGTCTTACGGTAAGGATGTGCAGAATATTGACCCAAAAATAAGCAGAACAAAAACAATGAAAACATGGTAAAGAAAGATAGGGGTGTCAACGACTGCGATAAGGCATGAACCTCGTTACCTTTTGGTTTCTTTCTGTTTTTGTTTTTGTTGCTTTTTACCAGCGTTAAGAACTCATTAGGAAACGCCTTACAACCACGCAAATTCTACCAGTTAAATTTTGTGCTCTCTTTGGTCTATTTGACTGGATGAGAATTCTGTCCTCATAAAGTCGAGAAAATGAAGTCAACCTCTGCGATTAGAACTTCATTACTTGGATAAGCCCGTCCCTCAATTCACCCTCTCTTTTATATCACAGGACAATGGTGGATGCCATCACAACTGCACAAACTCCCCTGGTTCATATCAGTGTACTTGTCATCCAACCTTTAAACTACAAATTGACGGGAAAACGTGCGGACGTAAGTAAAACCTCCTTCAAATTCTTTTTAACGTTTTGTGAAGCTTTTGTAACTGACTAAGCTTACTGTCCATTAAATCAAAGGCATAGCGCTCAGTTTTAGGCAGGAAATCAGTTCATTTCAGTTTCGGTCGAAACCAACCCGCACGTTCAGTTCTCCCTCAGCCCTTGTGGAACCAATTGAGATCGTGGGTGTTCTAAAGTGATTTCAACGTCTTGCCATGCTACTTTTATCAAACGATGAAAATGAGACTAACGTCCGAAACACTAAAAGCACTGAAAGGATTCTTCGGAGAGAGAGAGTAAGAGAGCTGAGGGACTTTATTGTTCTCCAGTAGATGCCTCCCCTTACAACTAATCCTAAAAAAACCGATAAAAGAGGTCTCATGATTTGTCATGGTAATTTATTTATACAGATTGCCCCACCTGCAGTGATTTTGAAGCTCTGTTACAGACTGTTGAACAGCTAAAGAACAAGGTGTGGTATTTATTTAGCTCTTGGATTTGCTTGAAATTCATCTCAGATAATTACATTTGACACATGCAAGAAATAAAGAAACCGATCACTTTCTGGAAATAGGGATGTATTTATTTACCCTCTTGCACAAGATTTTCTGCTTGAAGAATTTACCAATCATGACCTGGGAGTGGTTTATTGCTAACTCATTGTGGGCTAATTAATCTGTTCACCTAATGATTAATTTATTTATTGCCTTAAGCTTGCTTCGATTGAAGTCTGGAAGCAAAGTGTTGACGGTCAAGGATGTGTCTTTGAACTTGAAATTAAACCTGATGGAACCTCGTGGAAAAAGAGTCAGTGTGAGATTTGTCGCTGCGAGGTATATCTTTCTAGCTTTCCTTTTTTGTTTGCAAATGATTTTCCCTATTTCTTTCCTTTCTTTTATCCAGCTTTCAATTGGTAACGAGGCTATTTCCTTGACACTGATTCTGATCCAATCGGAAAATGCTTCAAATGTCTTAATCTTAACTTAGTTTTACTGTGTTGTGGTTTCACCCAGTACACCCTTAAGTCAGCATAAATATTCTCCCTAGTGTTCTTTATACACTTCCTTTGGCTTTTACAAGGAGAATTTAGTTAAAAATCAACAGCCTTTCAAGTCCGCGATCATTTCCTTAAATCCGATAAACCAATTGTCTGATTGCTAGTCACTATCATGGGTTAAAAGTTAATGAGCATGTCAAATGGTGACCGCAGTATTCCTGGCCATCTGTCAGAGAAACTTATGCGCCTATAGGCATGTAGTTTGTTTATAATCTTTCCCGATTGAGGGTTTATAAAGGCGTTAAAGATGCCCCCAAATTCCCTGTTTCCACCAATTAAAGAACAGGCTTGACCCAGTTTGAATCTGAAAGCCTAAATAATTGTATTGTAGCTAGTTTAGAACAACAAAATTGCCAGTTTTGTGCCTCCTGACGAAGAAGCTTCCCATATTAGTGGAGTGACTATACTTTCAGACGCTCTGTTTTACAGAAAGCTGGATAAGCTTCGGCCAGATGAGACACTTCGGCAGATTTAACTCTTAACTATTCGATCCGTCATACTATTGATGACTTATACTATCGTCTATTAGGATAGACGACTGACTACTAATTCTACTCAGTCATCTGATTTATTTGTTTCCCAATGAACTCGGTTTACCGAGCCAGACTGGCTGTTCAAATTAATTCAATCTTTTTTTTTTTTTAATTGTTGGTGTTGTTCACTTGTGTTTGCGTTATACCGGAAGATTTATCAATAAGCGCTTTCGAATGGATACTCGATATAAGTTCAATGTTATATGTTAGTTTCTTTTGGCTTTGAGAAAGTAAATCCCATGTAAATAAGAATTATATGCCTGGGTAAAAATATGTGGTTCTTTTCTTTAGAAAAATCAGACCCGCTGTGAAAGGATTTCAGGCTGCTCAGGTAAGGAGTATTAATTGATGTTCTTTTCATTAGTACTTGATTTTGTTTGTTCGTTTCCTCACTGATTCTTGCCTCGTTCTTATTACACCCTGTTTAAAATCACGTGTGATTCATACAATCTGATTGGCTATCTTTGTTGCGATTTATTTGTTCTAAATCTCGTTTCTTTCCTAGCCAACGAGAAAGCTTTACTAAAACACAACAACCAAGCAGATTTGAAGGCTTGCAACCAATTTAATCGAAGGAAAATGAAAGACAACTTTTGCAACTTTTTACAAACCAATTCCATACTGGGTGAAGAAAATATTTGTACAGACTGAAAAATCGTGTACTGAATTTTGCGATTTCAAAATACATGTAACAAAGTGAATCACGCGTTTGATTTCAGACCAAATTGCACTCCTGGTTGAGTCCTGGTTGTGATGATGATTCTTTGTTCCGGGATTTAGGTCATTGCCGCTAAATCCGTTATTGTCCTTTACAATTTGAAAGTTTGTAATAATTCATGTCCTATTCACCCTTAAAAACATTTAACCTTACCAGGAATATAATTTGTACGAGCTATCTAAAATCCGGGCGATTTTTCTCCAAATTGTTTAGAAACGACGGCACAACCCCTCACTACAGAGGAAATGATCACAATTACTCATGATGATAATGATGATGACGATGGAGACGAACCTGTTTCTTCCACATCAAGTAAGAAACAAAAATAATTTACGACTATTAGAACTTCTTTTCTCAAATGTCCGCGTAAACTGGCCCTAGAATTTTTATCTTCAATCTTTACAAGCATATGGAGGAAACACAAAACTATCGCAAGAAGACACTTCAGTAACTGTCCAGGGCTTAAATGGATAACTCATCTCGGATATTTGGAGCCAGTGTGACCGGGTGGTCAGGGTGCTATGCTTTTAATCAAGCTATCCGCTCTGCCACTCGCTGGATTTGTAAGATGCTTTTTATCAGAAAACCAAAGCCAGCACAGAATGCACTATTTTTTAACTCTGCTTAAGTACATACACATATTGAGATAACACACTTAACTGCGTAGCGTTTAAAGCGAAGAATGCTGCCTGCAATAGTCACTTCATTCTTTTGTTTTTCCTACTTAATTTCAAGATGTTACTTTATTCTTTATCGAATATCTTTAAAAGTTAAGTCGTTAACTATTCTGATATCTTTCCCAGAGTATCAGTCCTTCATACCTTGGCTTTGAAACGTTGTTTTCATAAGTGAAGATAGTTTGGGATTTTCCCAACAATGGAATTTAAATAGTCAATCACGAGCTATTCCCCCAACAGACTGTTATCATTTAACTTACAATCGCTTGTTCTTGAGTCAATTATAATGTTGGACTCACTATTGTTAACGCATTTTTAAATAGTAATTTCAGAACGTAATGACTATTTTTTTCGGGAAAAGCTTCTCTTAAAAGCAAATCTACCTCTAAGAATTCTGCAGCACGACAAACACTGGACGCCATGAGCAACTGTTTATGAATCATCCAATACTTTCAAACTAAATATTTACTTTTTTATTTATTTTCGTCAGGTGGTGATTTGCCAACATCAACGGCCGCTTCAAAGACACTTTCAACAGAAAGAGAACTTTCTGAGAGTGAGCTATTTACTATCAACAAGAAGAAACGATTGCAATGAGAAAGAATCGTCTAATAGCGAATCAAACGTGTAATCTTATAAGGGTTAAGGTAGAACATATCTGTCATGGAATTTTTAACTATAAAATTG